TCCTACCTCAGTGTGGCCAGCACTCAGGACCATCACCCTACCAGTATCGAGGGCAACTTGGACCAGACAGCAGTGACAAGCACCAAGGCTGGGCCGACCTCCCAGCCCTTGTGGAAGCGAAAGTGGACGAACCTTGCCATACGGGAACTTCGGACGCCAGGCTCATGCAATCTTCTACAGGCCAAATTCAGAGAGTCTACCCAGCAGGATTACCTAAGCAAGGCAGGCCAGAGCCCGCGGACACATCCTACCGTCCTTCCCCTAGCTTACCCAAGGCTAGGCGAAACTCAGACTAGCCGGAGAGACTTATATCCCTACCCTGCCCTAGAGCTAAGCCATGCGTGAGTAGAACCCGTCATATACCTGATAGACCCCCCCAGCCCAGTATCGTAGTTGTGTGTATGTGTGTGTGCCCAGAGGCTATGTATGTTTGTATGAGCCCATAGGGCTACCTTGCCATTACGCCCTTTCTTGGTAAAAAAGAGGCAAAACTCGTCAGAAATCATTGTGCATAGCTTTCATTTTGAATTTGAATTGAGATGCTCGGCGTGGAGGGGGGTGGTCACAAGATGCTATACAGCCAAGCAAGGGGCAGAGGGGAACATCGGGGAGGAGAAAAGGGCGGGGGGTCGGGGGGCGGCATTGGAAGATGCTTCACGAGCAACTGGGATGGTGGGCGAGTGTTAAGGGGGTCGCACGGTGACGCTTCGCACACGTTGGGTAGGAGAGGGAGTGCGGAAGGGGGTCATGAGATGCTTTTCGGGCACATGTACTCTGTGTTTATGGCTCGATCAGTTGACCACAGAAGGGCAAGCTACAGCCACTATTTCCAGAGAAAGCACTTGCAGCCCTTTGTTTTCTTCCAGCTGTGATGTCGTCTCCTTCTTCTGCCGGCCCAATAGAGCTCAGAAAGTTCACTGGGACATCCGTCAAAATTGCAACGATACAGAGAAGATTAGCATGACCCCCTGCGCAAGGATAAGACACAGACATTCAGGATAACCTTAGACATCATCCGTGTGAAAATCTGAGGGGGAAAAAAATACGCTGTAGAATTGCAGAAGAGACATTATCACATTCCTTACCATAAGTACAAATAAAAACAGACAGGTAAAGCCAGTGCGGCTACCCCCGCACGAATGGGGAAACAGAGGAACATATCGGTACGATACGGGTCTAAATGTTCTCTCTCTGTGTCTTCCTCTCTCTCTCTCTCTCTCTCTCTCTCTCTCTCTCTCTCTCTCTCTCTCTTTCCTTTTTTGGCGTAAGCAGCTTCTGTGGGCTCAACCCACGATAGTCTTGAGTGAGATCCAACGACAATTAGAAAGGGGAGAGATCGAGAGGAGGGGAGATGAAAAAGGCAGAGCTCGCAATCTGAGGATGGGGGAAGATTGCCATGGGAAAAGCAGGCGGGGGAGCATGTCAAGAGATGGGAGAGAGGGAGGCGGGGTGGGGAGGGCGGTGGGATAAGGAAAGATTTTGAAAAGGGGGGGGTGCGATTTGAACATGGGGTAGAGAGGAAGATCGCAAGAGGAGGAGGAAGAAGAGCAGAAGAAGGAGAATATGGAGGAGTTGCTTCTGTGTTTTCACTAACTTCTGCTGACTCTGATCTAAGTCTTTCAGGCCGCTAAGACGATCGAATGGCCAGCAAAACTTGTCATAAGCTGCTCGTGTGCGCTCAACCCATCAGGGCAGGGGGAGGTCGTGATGGGGGAAGAAGGATGGGAAAGGCAGGCAGGGAGGTATACCAGGACAGGATGGGACGGGGCTGTGGAGCGGGGGGGGGTGTGGACCAGAACATGGGGGCAGGGGAAGATAACATAAGGAGGAGAAGATCACGGTCTATTCTTTTCCTTTATGGAAGAAAAAAAAATATACATGGCATCGAGTGCCATGGAGAAGTACCTCTCGGATTCGTCTGAGGCTTAAACCACCAGTACTTGGCCCAGCTATCGGCCGCGGGAAAAAATAGAGTAGAAACGTTTCTAGTCGGATGAATTTGGGCGCTCCCGTAGTGGCCCCTACGTTTCCTAAAATCGTGGCGCGTTAACGGGCACGATTTTTGGAACTACTGGTGGTTTAAAGGATACGACGCCATCCTTTCAGTCCTCAATGCTCAGCTTGTGATGAAGATACACTTGGCCATACGGATGATGGGAGCAAAAAAAAAAAAGAGATGAGGAGGAGAGTATGGAGATCAATTAAGGTGTTTCTTTCTCTCAATGTTCATCAGTTCTCTCTCTCTCTCGCACACACCCGTGCATGCGCGTACAATTGTCGACGGATTAGTGATTAGATCGATTCACCACCCTGTCGTTTCTTTCTTTGCTTTTGGACTCTAACGCGTACGCTCTCTCTCCTTCTTTCTCTTGCGTGAGCATGGGCGCAATCGGCTGAAGACATTGCAGATCGGCGACGTTCCTTGTATTCAGAGTAGTAGCGGATGTATTCAGAGTCAAGATCTTCAAGTAGAGAGAGGAGGAGAACTCCCTCTCTCTCTCTCTCTCTCTCTCTCTCTCTCGTTCTTTCTGTTTCCTTTCATCTCCTCTCTTCTCTCGTCTCTTCTCTGCCCTGCCGAGAGTACCTGCAGGTACAGGGACTGGAGTGCAGGTACAGGGACTGGAGGCCGAGAGGCAAGTGTACATCATTTGGTGCAATCGGTAGCTTGGGTCATTCACGAGGCAGAGGATTGATTTAGATATATGCATATGGATATATACAAATATCTTCTTTTTTTCTCTCTATTTTTTTGTTTGTATTTTATTTAAATTGTTTTGTATTTTATTTAAATTGTATTCAATCAATTATTTTATTGAAAGTTCATTAGAGATCTCGGTTGAAGGAGGAGTGGAGGGTGATGGGAAGACCTCCATGGCCAGGGAGTAGGTGAGAAGAGGGTGAGTCCCTAGCTATGGAGGGACAAGTAGTGGATGCCCAACTCGGGCTATGGACAGGAGGAGAGTAGTTACTTTAGGTGATAGGAGAAGACCAAGAGAGACAGAGAAAGACTTCCCTTCAGCTGTGGTGGACCTTCAGCTTTCACTTACCTCGTTGCAAATGCATCAAGAAGTCCCGAGAAGGGGTTGTGGTTGCACCTAGACTTCAGCAGAAAGAAGAAATAGGACGATTGTGGCCAGATACATCTCTTACTATGGACAATGACGGATTTGTCCACCCACATTCAATGTTACTAAGGGGTCCTCCTCCAGAGATCTCCTTCCTATCAACCAGCCAGAAAAATGGAAATGAAAAAAAAAAGAAAGAAAGAATAAATAAGCTTCATCGCAATTGCAATCACGATTAGACCGGGACAATCGTTATTGGGCTCTCTGAGACGTATCTGACCGCATTGATGGCCAGATTCATTCGAGAGAACCCTAGGTTGAAGAATGCCCCTACATCAACCGGATGGAATCCAAGATCCGTAACCGTCT